AGGATTTCGTTGACACTTTCCGAAAGAAGCATTGCTTCTGAGGCATCTATGGTAAAAGATCTGAAGACGCCTCACACCGTCTGTCTGCAGGGGCCGCTTCTTGCAGCCATGCAACAATGAAGCCCTTGCTGTAGCCTTGTACACGCAACGCTTAAGACCCAGGGATATGCCTTTGTCACCACAAGTGATTTAGGCCTCGATTTCATCAGACACACTTCCTTCAGAGCTAATACCAATGGGGTTTGTAAAGTTCTCTACAATTTCCAGCGGTTGCCCTTGCATCGTTAGAGAGAGAGAGAGACTACGTTTTGATACATGACTTTGCACTTTGAAGGTGCAAGTGCATGCCGAAGGATGGCATGATTGTGGTCAGTTTAGTTATTGAGGTTTGTACTTTGCCTTGATCGTCAAGGATTAGGGTGGCGTCCTCTACATACTCCAGATCGGCAATTTTCACACCACTATTTTAAAAAACTTCCAGCTTTCGCTTCATTATTTCATCGATGGTGAAGCTGAACAGTAACGGAGAGAGTGGGCATCCTTGTCGGACATCACCTTTTGTAGATGAGCTTTTAGGGAGCTCACTATGGACTCACCCCGAGGAGTATGCGAATATAGGGATCGGATTATGTACACAAACTTCTTGGGCATGCCCTGGTGGACACGTGTAGTTAACAGCACTCACTGATAGAGGGAGTCGAATGTACTCCTGAGGTCAAGGAATGCTAAGTTGTAGGGTTGCCTGGGACGCAGATAAACACAAATAGGCTAGACAGACACTGGCGGAAGAATTCACTGTCATCCTTGAACAGGATAGGTGGAATGTCGGGACCAGGAGGACGATGACATTTGAGTGGAGATGTGCACTCTTACACCTTTGAGGGTGAATAGGGCTCCATATTCACAACCCATTTTCCATCGAAGCCCAGGATTCCCGATTTGAGTTAGCAGGTGGCTAAATGAATTGCTTCTCGTAGTACTGTGGCCACCGGTTCAAACGTTCCGCTTAGTAAGATATTAGGGGCATTTTGGTCCCTGATAATTTCGCTTACAAGAGGCTTCCGAGGATCGGTCGAACGAATGAAGTGTAACATCTTGCGGACGTTTCCAGCACGTCCCGCACCTTCCTTTTCTTCGGACTTCGGGCTCACCAAGCTCCTCGGTCTGCCCGGACACTCGGTTTCACCTGGCGTCGGGTGGAATTGTCGTTGCCGCCAGGATGAATCCGTCACCAATCTCCAGCTAAGCCATGGTCTTATCAGAGATCCATTGTTTGGGTGAGATCGGTTTGTTGTTCCGCGAACAGGTGTCCCGGCTTTGATCAGTGCTTTAGATATTTCCAAATGCCCCTGGTGTCCGACATCGTACGTGTTCGAGGAGCCGGTTCTAATAGACTCGTTTTTAATGGCTAAGCTAGGTGTGTTCGTTTTGCGTAGACCTGAAAACCGCAGTGAAACAGTAGCGGACAAGTTCACGGTAACATTGCAGAGAATGCGGCAGGCATTTGGCCTGTTGAGTATACATGTGGATAATCTATCCTTCTGAAAGGCGGTGCTTGGAGTGAATGCGTTAATTTCCGAGGAATCAGCTTGACCTCCGTCACAACTAGGCTGTTCGAGTTGTATTATCTGCATTGTTTCACGAAAGTACATGAAGACGGGATCCGAAAACGGAAAGCAAGATTCCGGTCGGGAAGAGTCTATGTGACCAGACCACATACCGTCAAGTTTTGAAGTAATGACATGCGTCTAGGCGCCCCAAAGTTTTTGGTGTTCATTAACTTCAAGGGTCCGTACGATTTTGCCGACGACCTCATTACTTTTGGCTATTCTTGGTTGGTTGGTTGTCATGGATGATGATTGTTGGTCATTATTAACCAACCCTTGACCTGGCAGAGGGGTGTAGGAGATTACGAAACGTTTGATGCCGTCGGTGCTACTCAACTTCCAGAATTGGGGCCGCGTGATCCACACTGTTGGAGACGTTGCATTATACGGCTGCCAACCGATGTCAGTGGCGTTCTTGTTGTCAGTTTCTATCCATATTGCCTGAGTGAATGTCTGGAGGTGTAGGCACCTCAGAACTGTTGTGGTAAACTAGCACCAAGTCCCTTCCCCGTTCACCTCTATTCTTTTCTTTACAATAAGGCTTTCAAATAAATCGTGGTAGTACGGCAGTGAAGTATGCGTGTTGAACACTGACGTCATGCTGTCAATGATGATGACGATGTGCATATTTAAGCGCTTCATGCAAGTTTTCATAAAATTTTCAGAATGGCGATCAAGTGGTATATACTCACGAAATACAAGCTTTATCTGTTTCAATTTACCTCACCAGAGGTCGATGGCGTGGCTACACTGTGCACGTTACAAAGCGATTTTTATTCTGTTGCGACTACCTTGTCTTGTCCGTGGTTCGAACCCTACTTCGGCATGTTGACCGCTCCTGTCTAGGCTTGGGCAACCTGGCAGGATCCCTGCCTTCATGCTCCCTTCCGTCGGTGTGGTAGCTAGCCGATGAAAGGGTGGTACAGCTGAATGATTTGATTTCGATTTGAAACAGAACTGACCTCACTCTTGCGTTCAGCTGCAACACCCTTTCCATGCTATGCCACCCGAATGAAGCACGAGGGCTGGGATCCTGCCAAGTTGCCCAAGCCTAGGCACGGGGAGTCGAGATGCAGAGGTCGAGTTGGAACCACGGACCTTCCGGTCATAATACTCGCGCTCTAATCATAAGCCATCTCACTCGTGCATTGGCTAGATTTGGGGCTATCCAGACTGAAAACTAGCTTCCGAAACGGATGATCGCGCCTTCGGACAAAGCATCGGGCTACCTTCGTGCAGCCATTTCAGTAAGCATCATGAGGCTCAGTGCTGAGGGTCTTCACAGCAATAGCTGGTGTAGCTTGCTGCCTTGTGTGCATGAATATGTCAGTTGTATGAAGGCAGTCTGGAAGGAGTTTTAGCCTGATGCAGAATATCCTATTTTTCCGATGAGTGACTCACAAAAATAGCAGGTGTGTGTGTTGGCAACGGACGCGAGTAATTTCGTACTCCTTGTGGGTCGTAGAACTCATACTTATGGTAATACTCATTTGTCCGGGAGAATAACAATTACCGGTTGCATACACTGGAGAAACATTAGGGCCACCGAGACGTTTGACTCAGCCTAGTCCACATCATGACACAATTAAGTGATACGGTGATACTGGAAGCCGGTGTATGTGTATGCGATTCATAAGTCTTTCGGATGAAGTCTTGTTTTAATGACACGGCTACCCAATAAAGCTTCTTGTGTTGCCCAGGGTTTCAAGACGTTAACTCCTCCAGAGTACTGTCGGCCCATTTAATAGTTCCAGTTGACCATCGTTTAATTGAAACCCCCAGCACGAGAAGATAGTGAATGGGACTTCCTCGATTCGAAGAAGTGCGGGTTGGCTCATAGAATCTGTCATCGATTTTACTGAAACAGTTGAAGTCTAGATAGCCGACCGATAAGTTCACACTCATGCTCCTCAGTCTGTGCATTGATCTGATAGTGTTACCTCTGTATATCGGTGCGGAACGATGCTTTATACCTAGTTCTATGGTCAGTGTGTTTTATATTCGCGCTGTTTGTGGATAATGTGGTCATAACTGCGTCCGTGCAAAGCATCAAGCTGAAGTCTTATGAATTCATCTGGTAGTTGCCATAAGAAAGCGCTCAGCTGTAGCACCCTTCCGGTGCCTAGCTGCCATGCCACCCGAAGGAAGCACGAGGGCTGGGATACTGCCAGGTTGCCCAAGCCTAGACAGGGGAAGTCGAGAGGCGGAGGTCGGATTCGAACCACGGACCTTCCGGTCAGTAAATTCGCGCTCTAACCACCTAGGCCATCTCGCCATAAACGGGAATATCTTAAGCAATATACAGTGGTTATGCGTCCACAAAGTAGTAACCGTTACAGTTAGAAAAGTTACCTGTATATTGTGGAATTTTGTCGACTTTACTCGCTGTTACGGGGTGGAAATTGCGGATCGATTGCCTTAGGAAAGAGGTACTATAGATTTTCATGAAGTAAAGTACTCACCAGTCTCCTGAAATTTCTTCGCGTTTCCTCTGAGTCTCCTGCGGAAACCAAATTGAGTATTTAAGAGTGTTTGTCGAGGTATTGTAGATGTTCTGTTGTTTGCAGTTGACCGGCCCACGATGGGGTTATGACAGGTGCGTTTTCGCAAAATTAATGAATAGAACCGTGTCTTTATCCAATTAACCGGTCTGCATTGTCATTGACTTTCTGTACACCTGATTAAAACTTGTTCAAATTCTGTACAGTGAAATATTTGAAATTGTTGATGACAGTTCGTCGGTAAATGTGGACTTTGAGCGCACTATGTGGATGGCTGCCTGTGTTTGAGAACCAGGAATTTTACTGACTCGGTGGACTAGGTCCCGGTTCAGCTCGAGGAATAATTGGCTCATCCAGCCATCATGAAACAAGGATTTCGAGTTCGATGTTTTATTAGCTATGTAAATTGTTTCAAGCTTCGGGTAAAGAGAAGCAGATTATGACAGAGGATTGCATTTACAACACGAAGAGCGAGCTCGCCAGCATTATTAATAAATTCAAACAGACAAGCGATAGCGCGAGACCTAAATAACAGAACGTTGTGATAATCTGAAAAAAACAGGAAAGGAGAATGAATATCCCCAATTTCAGCGATCCCTGCGACAATGGAGAAGAAAGCTTTGAAACAGCGGAGATCTTCGCATCTGATATGATTGATTGAAAATGAAGAAGTCGGTTGAATTATTAATTGGTTTTGGAATTGAGGCAACACTTCAACCGAGTTGCCCTTTCATTGCCTCTTACTCATCTACAAAATGATTAAAGTCACCCGACTCCGATTTTCTTCTTATCATTTTAGTATGTCTGTCGAACATCACTCGGACTCCGGGTGAGTCTGATACAAGCTGACGAATTTCGTGCTCAAGAAGGATAATCCTCGATTGCTCGTGGAATGATCTTACCTCATCTCCTGTGTATTTCCCTCGTGCTATTTCCAGTCATAGCTATTGACACTATCGCGAAAATAAAACACGCCGTTTTCTCCAATGTTACGGTTCCCAGTGGTCTCAGCAGCATACTTTTCGTTGATCTCCCTCCGGACTCTGCATTTGTGGTTATTCAATTGCACAGTCCGTTTAACCCACTTTTGGTCTCAGTCTTGGAGTCTTTCGATTACGGAGCCTCACAACATTCGGAACATTGCGGCTTGCTTAAGGAACTCCCAGCTAACTCCACAAATGTGACTCTATTCATATACTCTGAATATGATAACAGTATGCCTACTTGGGTGCGCGCTGACGCTTATGCTACAGGCTGTACGTTCTATGGTTTTCCTAATCTTTTGTGGACCTTTTTTTAGATCCCATGCCTGGAGGATGTGGACAAGTTTTGTTCAGCGGAGTTTCCAACGCTGCTCTCGCGACTGAGGTTATGCAACTTCCTTGGTACCTAGTAAACCGAAATGACTCTTGTCAGTCGCTGCGATACTGGACATCACTGCTCAAGTTTCCTCCAGCAGCAGCACCCGGAAAACATAATGGTTCATCCGGTTGCCTTGCTGCCGACGACAGAATTACCTATTACTTATACACCACACCACTTGTTACCGCGGGTGGTTTATATGGTACATTTACTGATCCGAATTCCTATGAAGTTTCTGGAATCCTCGATGTCATGTCTTCTTGGGATGTTAACCCTCAGAAATTAGCTCACACATTCATCATTAGGTAGGTTTTTTGACGCTTCAGTCAGCAGGTTATGGTAGTTTGGTATTTTGGAATCAGCTCACCATTGACACACCATTAACAGTGTGCGTTGTTTCCAAATTAGTATGAAGGGTTTTTATGACTGTGGGTAGCATGGCCCCCCGCTGCTGTTTCGTTATGCTCAGTATATTTAGGGAATGTGCTACGGGTTCCAACTGTCTTAGGATAGTAAGACAACTTACGAGACCAAGGTTTCAGGAACTCATTTCACACCAGTTTCCAGTCTGCAACCAACATGCTCCAAACTCTAAACGAGACAAGACGTCACGTGGGTATATAGTGAAAGTTCAAAGTTCATATTCAGATGGGTAAAACATTTGGGGTGTGTAACTTTGTCCTCTAGATAGATCAGTATGTACATTTTCCGTTTGAACATCCCGATAATAAAAAAAACCTCAGCAACGTAAGGGTCCTCGACAGCTGGGTTTTGCGCAAACGAACTGACCTTTATACTGTATAACGAAGTACTGATTTGTCCCCAACGCCGCACTTGAGCCAGCTGTATAGTTTCTGTGTTACACTATGTGATTACAGCAACATTAGTGTTTGGATGTTTCACTGCGTCCTAGTAAATCTCGGTTGGTTATAACAAATTTGTCTCGGTTGAGCTTGTTATTCTTCCCGTTGGTTAGAGTACATGCATTTCTTCGTAGATGTGTCTGTAGACTTCCATCATGATTCGCTTTGTATCTCTGCTGAAATCCGTTCATGCATCCTACGTTTCATATACAGGAGATAAAATAGAAAGAGTAATCGTTCTGCTACAATACTCTCGGTGGTTAGCTGCCATGCCTCTATACAGGAGATAAAATAGAAAGAGTAATCGCTCTGCTACAATACTCTTTCGGTGGTTAGCTGCCATGCCTCCCGAAGGAAGCATAAGGGCTGGGTTGCCCAAGCCTAGACAAGGGAAGTCGAGATGGAGTCGTGAGGTCAAATCACAGATCTTCTGGTCAGTAAATTCATGCTATCACCACTAAGCCATCTCGCCCCCCTTATACAGGAGTGTGCCGCCGGAAAGGGCATCCAAAACATTTCATCCAGTTTTATTTCCAACAACTAGTCCATCAAACAACCAATTCACTCCTGCCTGATGAAACTCAAATGTCTGTTTGAGTTTCGAAAATCTTCGTAGTAGATTACGGTGTTCGTTAACCTATTTCGACGTGCGCACTTTCAAAGTACCGTCAGCTGCACCCTCATTTTAAGTCTTCGCTCAGCTGTAGCACCCTTTCGGTGCCTAACTGCCATGCCACCCGAAGGTTGCACGAGGGCTGGGATACCGCCAGGTCGCCCAAGGCTAGACAGGGGAAGTCGCGAGGCAGAGGTCGGATTCGAACCACGAACCTTCCGGTCAGTAAATTCGCGCTCTAACCACTTGGTCCATCTCGCCCCCATTTGAATTCTTGCTAAGTCTGATAAAATAATCAGTATATTGCGAAAATAAATAAATAGTAAATATAGGAATAAGGGACTTTGGTGTTTTATTCTCCAGGGAAATAGATCTCAATAAAGACATCTTTTCCTAATTTGAAGATGGTTTCAGTTAGGGGGCAACTTATTATAGGTTTTTGGCCAGTTCGAAGTGATATGGACATTTGTAATGGTGTAAACCGTGGGAAGATTTGCCTCCAACGAGTCTCATTTACGCAAGTGCGCACCGTCAGATCTACAGACAACGCGCAAAAGCCCAAGGTGTGAAGTGCAAATCGGTGGCCGAAATTCCGGTTTCCTCATTTCAAAGGGGTTTTACTTGAGAAAGTAAAAGAGTGAACTCTTCATTTGCACCTACAAAGTGTAAGGTCATGCTCGTGGACGTGCAGTCACTGAAAACGCCACTTACAATCCAGGGAGAGGTACTGGAAGTTGTGTATTAGTTTTATATTTATTTATTTGTATTAGTTTTATTAGTCCTGATTGTAGTGTGACGGATGAGGTCAATGCACGAATCTGCAAGACCCGGGCCGCGTTTGCTAATTTGAGGCACCTATGGCGCCAGAGTGGTTTATCCCTGAATCTGAAGGAACGTGTGTATCAAGCTACAGTGCGGGCTGTTTTGTTGTATGGCTGAGACTTGGCCCATTCGAGCAACGGAACTGAGACGTCTTCAGGTGTTCGACAATCGTTGTCTCAGAACCATAGCTCGTGTGTTGAACACTGATGCCATGCTGTCGATGATGATGATGATGAAAATACGTTGAAATTGTTGCTGTTAGAGTTAAAGTGGAGCATGTTTCCGCTCTCCAGCTGATGATAGTAGTGATACTCATAGGTTCCATAAGCTGTTGACAGTGGATACTACCTTCCATATTTCGAGGGATGTGAATGCCTCAGCCCTGTATTCTCATCGGCTATGACCTCGTGGTATCTTTTTAGTCGACAGTGGTTCACCATAAACCATGGACTTTGGTTTTCTATAATCCGTAAAAATCTAAGTGATTATCATAGTCAATTCACTTGAGGTTTATTCTTGGATGAACCAATAGGCTACGGTTACACTGAAGCTGACGAACATGGTTTTTAATCGACTAGGAATCTCTGATCTGGCATACAAGCCGTGGTCGGGTGAGTTGGCTAAAAATTGTTAGTCAAATTCTGCTGCTATTTTGGATCCCGAACAACGGGTACCTTTGGTGGTTTGTTCAAGCCAAGGTTGATCCAACATATGATTCGCTTGATTGTTCTAAACCTCTGCTCCTTCTCTACGTCTTTACTCATCGCGATCGAAACAACACGGATAAGTCCCGTGTGGCCGAATTTTCAACTGTCGATTTGAGGTGACTCAGTCCGTCGGTCCAGTACAGTAACGGAGTTCGCCAGGGTTTTCAAGGTTCCAGGTTCACATCCTATAGCGAAATATGATTTTCCTGAGAATATGTGGCCTCAAATAGAAAGGTGCGGTGTGGCCACCAAAGCACCCAATAACCTGAGATTCGGAGTTCGCCAGGGTTTTCAAGGTTCCAGGTTCACATCCTATAGCGAAATATGATGTTCCTGAGAATATGTGGCGGTGTGGTGCGGTGTGGCCACCAAAACACCCAATAACCTGAGATGGAATGACTGATGGTAACACGCTTAGTCTGTTCTAGGGTGTACTTCAATTTAACACTTGAATGGTCAGAGTTTGCGTTATTCTTGGATGGCGACCGGATTCCTGTATCCACTTGCCACACTGCTATCCCAGATTAGCACGCATCAACCTGAGATTTCTCCTTAGTGAAGTCCCGTATTTCGTATCTGTTCATCGTACGGAACGACATTTACGGTAGACTGCAAGGTTTCCAGAACATATAATGTGAGAACTTCTTTCAGTTTAGTTCCTTGAGAGATAGTCACGGTATGTTGTTTCTATCGGACATGCATCCCAAAGCTTCTAGTCGATCTGTTTGCCAATATCCTTTGAGCTATACGAGTTGCTTCACGGGCGTCTTTTCATAAACAACACGTTTACTTTGATTTTGGAACTCTACAACAGGCTTCTGTAGTGTGCGTCGTCTTCGCTGTGTGCGAACAGCAAGAGCAATTGACTTTTCCCCACACTAGCCTACCATCGTGTCTGCGCATTGGAAAGTATTTTTTCTCCCTGTCCAAACTAAAACAGAAATGCTGTTTGATTTGATGAAACCGATACCGCGTCATTATCTCCGAGCGTCAAGATTACTAACTGAGCCCTGTTTAAGGGTTCCAGTGATTGATTACGCCCGTGAATTTAGCAGGTTTAAAGCTCCCATACGGGTGTAATAAATTCCCTTAGTTGAAATGATGCAAAACATGACTTCAGTGAAATAAACTTCGGAGGCTCCATTTGCGCGGGGACTAAGATTCACAAAGTTTATTTTCACAACTAAAATGACAACATACACGTTCAACGCCATAGCACCTTCGATAAACAAATAGGAAACTTCGAACTCGGTTTGGTTTTAGTTTCTATCTGCGTTGCAAGTAATATTATTAAACGGGAGACTTTTTCGCATGCCGTTCTGTGATTGCCATTTAGTATCGTCAGCCCCGTGTGTACACTTTCGCCAACTATCCACGATATCCTTGCTGATAAGCTACCAGGGGAGGCGTTGTATGCATTGTATGCGAATTTATGCACCGCGCTTGCATTTTTACCAACCGTTTACGTTATTTATTCCATCAGTGACAACAGTTTCAGTTGTATTAGGAGAACCAGCTCCGAACTTATGTGGACTACACAACTGCCAACGGAATAAACGTTTTCGTTGAGATAAATTTGATTGCCCTTGACAGATGAGTTCTGTTTCTAGCATCACTTGGTCCGCGTAGAACCTTCCACGTGAGCTTTATAAACAAACCGTTTTCGGTTGCACATGACATGCTTGTACGCGTCATTATTCAATAGATCAGCTGATTCGCACGTTCAATGGCTTTGAGGTTTAGCTAGATGGCTATCAAACGGCTATCCAGACTCGGGTTCACGGTATTAGGAAGGTATTAAGAACACTGGTCTATAACAAGTAGAGTAACGTGTTTTCTGTAGACCACCACTCAGGTTTGGTTGCTCTCTTCAAGCGTCTCATCTGTTTGGCTCGTGGTTTTCAGAGTGGTAATTTCTGGGCAAATTAGTGGAACTTCCAGTTCGCTTCTGTTGAAGTTGTGCGCCACGGGTAACACCGTTGGTTTGCATCGCTCCAGGCGTAGTTCTCGGTGTCGAAATTGAAGAGTCCCGCCTGGATTTGGGGGTCTGAAGTGGTCGTGTCGGAATGAGGTAGAATATTGTCAGGCATCCTCTTTCTTTGCGTCTGTTTCCAATCATGAATGACGATTAAAGTGTTAAGATGATTATGCACCAGTACTGTCGTATTGCTGTCTGTGATGATAATACTGATGTATCATTAATCCTTATTTTGCTTTTTTGTACAAATCCAAGGTTCTCCCTCCGTTTCTGAATTTCTATATTATCTTTTTGGCACAGCTACCTTATCGAGCCACGGGACCACTTGAACTTTCGTCACTATTTTCTAAAGGTGCCGATGAACGCTTGTTTTGTGCTTCAGTTGATCTCTTAAGGTTCATTTACTGACATGATACCTCCTCATTGTTGATATTTTCAAAGGCTACCCGAAACAGTTGTCGGGGCCACGTTAATATGAGTCTCCGGAACCTAGTTGATCTATTCCAACTACTAGCTAGCTGTGATCAATAATCACACAAAGCCTTGGATTATTCGGTTACCTATTCGCCATACTTGAATGATTTGCTGAACCATATACATAGTCGTACGATGTCAAATGAAATTCATGTGCACCATTAGAAAAGTGTGCATGCATACGCAGTTTGTTCTATCTATTGTAACTGTGATTTCTGCGAAGTGATTTGCCCGTGCGTGGCCTCTCAGTAGCCTCATCATCATCATTGTCAGCTGTAATAACCCCCTACAGTGGTTATAGCTGCCACAGTTTTGTCCAACGATGATTCGGGGAGGTGGGGTAGTTAGCGGCGTATTGGAGGCGGGAGCTGATAAATTAGTGCGTAAATACAGCACTGTAGGTGAACTGCTAAGTGGGAGTATTGGGAAGGTAGCTATGCATTGAAGGCAACAGCTTGGATGCATGAGCGCCATTGAGGGCGCGACTGGGCCATGTCTGACAATATCTCTAATCATTGATGTCGCCCGTCTCGGGTCCCCATCCAGGAAGACGTCGATGACCAGCGCAGCTGGGTTTGCTGGTAATGGTTTTTATACTTCGCTGCTAGCGTTAGCTCCAAACTCAGATCTTTGGGCCATCCCTCAATCCAAACCACAGGTTATTATCAAGCCACCCTGGGCATATTCTTCCATCCACACTGCCACAACTTTACTGACCCGTTAAACCTTTTTGTAACAACCCGTCGTTTGCCTTTTTTGTCAATTCTCAGAGCATCAATGTTGGACCAGAAGCAGCTACTGGAAGTGCCTATCGCCCGACGGCCTGGCACAGCTGTAGTCCTCACGTTGGTTGCAGAGTTGCGTGATCAGAGCAGACAATCTCGTGTGGCTTATGCGCCGGTTGTGCTCTACGGGTGTCCGGCTACTCCACCGATCCACAGCGAATTCGGCGTGGGACTGGTGGTGCGTAATCAAAGTTGTCGTCTGTCCTGTGGCATTCTCCCCACAAATTCACCTTCGATCTACTTCCCCGTCGCTGTGCTCCTGTTAGCAAGCATGTTCTACGCATGCTCGTGCAATTTGCTCATTTGGCCACGTGGGTTCTCGGCTGCGTGCTGATTATTTGTATCTCACATATTAGTGTTCCTCATTATTCATTCATCCGGCTGTGTTCTCAGTCGGAGGCGTTTTCGAGAGTGAATGAGAGGTTAAAAGTACGGTTTCGTATTTGGAACATCTGGAGAAAAAAATAACCGAAGTGCTACCAATGTAACGGTGATACTACTGATGGGGGGCATTCGAGTAGTATGTTTTCTCGTAAATCCGCTCTGCATCTCTTGAAAATTGAGATCTGTTACGGAATTTGTGGAGTCGCTCTATGGCATTTGCTTGCAAATGAGTAACAGTCAATGAATATCCAGGAAAGTGCAGGAAGACGCGTTCAAGGAGAGGATGGATATTCAGTTTTGTAAACCATTTGCACATGAGTTTTGCTCCATTGTCCAATATGCTGTAACTGTTCAGTTGGCATTTTCTAGTAAGTAATTCCGCAGCAAAGGCATTCTTCTTTTCACCAATACTGAAACCAAGTTCTTTGTTCATCAGACTGTGTAGCTTGGAGGTGTCCCTTACAAAAGTTTTATGTTCTGTCGCACATACTTGAGCTGACGTGTGATGGTGACTTTCCAGCTACTACGATGAGCTGTATAATTGCCAACCTTTCTTGACTGATTTTGCCGTCACCCATTGGTCCTCAACAACTTGAACTTTCGTGTTTCATCACATTTTTCTTTTTGCGGTAATTTCTCGAAATTACCAACCTTCAGGGAAGAAAACATCGTTGCAGGAAAGGTGAAGCCTCCTCGACGGTTTTAAAAATCTTGAACCTTAAATCAGGATTTATCTTCCTAAAGAAAACTATTTACAAGGTTTCAACGTTGTGAGTAGTCTACTGTATGAAAATGTACTGCAACATCTCGAATATCGTACCCAATGAAATATTAGGTGTCCTTTTTAAAGCACATTCAGTTGAAGAATATCATAAAAGAGGAATTTAGTTGGGTCTTCCGTGGAAATTAAGTTGATGTGTGTTGATGAGTGCATTTTGCAAGGTAGGATTTATGTTGTTTGAAAGTTTGTTTCACATCTTCCGTGCTGAGATAGCACGAGTGCAGCCGGTCAAGACGGAGCGTGGCAGGCGAATTCGTTGGGCCCATCGGACTACAGCGGCCTCCGATAGACTATGCGAGGCAGTTCTGTGCTTTACCAGCGCCATTACTCGAGGGAACTTTCGTTGTCGTGATACACAACTTCAATTTTGGACACAACGAATGCCTCGAGTGGTGCAGTGCCATGAAACATCCTCCGCTGGAATCTTCGTCGATGTTAAGTTCCCAGATTGTGAGGAAGTTTCCGATCCACAGACATGTTTTAGCGTTGTTGAGTGGTCCGGCAACGTAGAGAGTTCAGCATCTTTCGCCTTTCAGCGACACAGATATTTACATCAACTGATTGAATTTCAACCTGCTTTTCGAATCAATGTATTCTTAAAGACCATAAATTCCATGTCTTTCTGGGATGATTGAATAAGCCGAAGCTTATCACGGTACAAAACCTAAAGTTTTCAAGATGGGGTTCATCAATTTTCAACTGAAGGACTTCCGCGATAGATGGAGTCCTTCGGCTTTTCTGCAGCAGGTTGGAAATGGCTCCTAGACTTACTAACCAAACAATCATGATGACACTGGATCATCTGCGTGTAGTTTATTGAGGCTGAAGTTTCTAGTCGACAAACAGTGATATGAAATTAACTTCCTTCAGATTGTTGGGTCGCTATTTTTGCCAATACCCGGTCTCCTTGTGTGTTGTTTTGGCGATTGCGATTAGTCACGCATTAGATACTGAAAATTGGGTTCTCGCTTTTCTTTTCAAGTTTATTTATTCGTATTGCTCCCCAGGTTGTGCCGCCAGCGTCATGGTCATGTCTTCTGTGTTAGGGACTATCTTCTTCTATCGTTATTCCCTTCCGACGTCTGATGGTAAGTTCTCGACCGAATGCTACACGCTTTGTGTATGTGTTTATATGTGCTAGTCGGGCTGAATTCGGCAGTTTTAGTGCGCTGTTGTGTCCATCTAGGACCCGACTTATTTCAATGTTGTTTCTAGATTTTGATGCCAGTCGTTCGGGTGTGATAGCAGCTCTTTGAATTTCAAACACGGAGTCAGAATTCATGAACGACGAGTTGTCATCTTCAGTCGGAATATCAAGGACTATCCACTTTTACTTGTTTGAATGCAGCCAATGCCAAAATGTCGGTCGATCGTACTTGATCGCCGCTATTATAATAGTATAACAAACTTACCTGAGATACGTTTCCGCGTCAGCGTATCCTATTTGAAGGCGGGTAGCTCCAGTTGTCTAGGTAACTCTATTTTGAACAATGTGGGAGTGGGGTGTGCAACCCAACTTTTCAAGAATTTACTTAGATAAGCTCTTAATGACCCGCTCCTTATCTGGTAAACAGGTACATTCATGTATTTTTAAGCCCATTTCATGACTGGGAGTGTTTTATTTGTAATAGCGGCCAATTTGTGCCTTATGGTTTACTTTTTTACCCGAATGAAGGACTTCCCTCCTACCCCCCCCCCAGTCAGTAGTGATCGGTTTCTACTTGCGGTGTTTTAGTCAACCGTTGTATGGCAAGGCCTTTCATGTTAACCGCTCCGAGGGGTAGTCTCGGTTACAAACCTCCTGGCCTAGTCCTGTGGGAAACGCATTCAATCCCCTTTGTACCAATCGACAAAACAACTGAGGTGTAAGTGCTGTTGGTTTTAGTAAGGTTAGACGTTTGAAACTCATTCGGTCATTTGGTGGTCCAATTGTTAAGACATAATAAGCTGTAACACCCTTCCGGTGCCTAGATGCCATGCCAGCCGAAGGAAGCACGAGGACTTCGATACTGCCAGGTTGCTCAGGTTTAGACAGCGGACGTCGAAGCGCAGAGTTCGGGTCCGAACCACGGACCTTCCGTTCAGTGAATTCGCGCTCTAACCGTCTCGCCCTTGTTAAGATACGCAAGACTGTCGACCGTTTTTATCTCATTGTTTGCATGATGGTTTGTGTGTTTATACGCGTTTGATCATATGGAGACCAGCGTGTGATACATTATCCAGGACCCTTTTCATGATGCTTGATTTTTTCACCGATTGACTTATTCTTGTCAATTTTATCTGCCTCTTCTCACGTTTACATGTAAACTGGACGTAATACACTGCTCCACTTGTTTGGTTTAGTCTGGTAAATGTTCACTTCTTGCCAGCGGTTTTCGTCTTAAGCAACATAAATTGATATCCTTTCCCTCATGCAGCCATACTGGTCCTTGCAATCAGTGTTTTACTCCCTGGATTGCTGGCGCTTGCAACGTTCATCCTCATCTGGTGTCTATGCATACGCCCAACACTACACTACCACAGAGTATTCGGCCGTGGGCCTCTGATGAAGATCCAGGAACCGGATACTACTCCAGGCACTAGCACTGTCAACGAACCTTGGAACACGGAACTGCTAGCTGGGACACCTACGGAAGTACAGGGGGCTGCGTTTTATGTCGCGGATAGTGACCCGCTCGTCGATAATTCTCTCGAACCTGTCTCCGAGGTGCCGAATTGTGGTACCTTGGAACCTCTTTTATCACACAGTAACTCGTCAACCGCACATGTATGCCAAGCAGATATGGAGCAGACGCAGTTGGAAAATGACCGTTCTCCATTTTGCCCCTGTTGCTCAAGTCAGCACAACTCACAGTACGACTGCGCGGGATGCAGAGCAAGGCGATCGACTCGTGTGTTCAGCTTAAGGCCGCGCCGGATAGCGCGACTTCCTCCGGTACTTCCAGCTGTATTCCTATTCGTCGCTTTGTTGTCGGTGCTTTTGGGTAAGTTGGCCTTCCCCCTAGTGGCCCAGCTTTGTTTATGTTGGTTTGAATTATACGCCTGACATTGTTGGCTCAGGTGGCTCTAATTTTTTTTTGCGCACTGGTTGACTTCATCATCGTATCTCGACTAGTGCTCTATTAGCTCGTTGATTTCGGCAGGTTGACTAATCCCTTGATTTCGCGGCAACTCATCTTTCGGTATCACTTTCCAATGGACCAGTTCTTCTATGCACAAGCTACTCGGATTACTCACCTGATTCACTGATTTCTGTGTTTATTCGCCCCATCTACCGATGTATGGTTTTCAGATAAATAATAGGATAATCGTTCAGCTGTAACGCTCTTTCGGAGCCTAGCTGTCATGCCACCCGAAGGGAGCACGAGGGCTGGGATACTACAGGGTTGCCCAATCCTAGACAGGGGAAGTCGGGATGCACTACTCTGGTCCGAACCACGGACCTTCATGTCGGCAAATTCGCAAAAGAGGACTTTTATTACCGACTGTTTAGTTTCATCGGAATGTTCACCCTGTTACAACCCGACAAATACCATACAGCTGCCTCATTGTTACTGGGAATAACCGTCAGTCTCTAGGTAGATCTGCATCCACGGGGGCGTTCGTTGCTGCAATTGGCTGTTCATTAGTGTGAGTTCCTCGCAGTTCCTCGAATGATGACTTCCTGGTTGGAAGGCTCGTGCAGGTCTTGGGATTTCCCCTTTCCTATACTCCACAAGTAGTAAGGAAACTTCACTGTCTCAATAAAAATTCCACCTTACATTTTCATCGACTCTTCGAAGTCTTCTGAATGATATCCATACACTTGTTGGCAGCAACTGTGACCTAAGGGACTTGTTGATTAGTCTTACTAAGTGCCAGCTAGAAAAAATGCCTCATTAACAGTGGCTATGGAAGTCGAATTTGGCTGTTTGTCGGAATTTAATCTCTCCGTGGTGATTCCATCCGATGCAGCTTTTTATCGATTTCAAATGAGAATAACGGAAATACAATGCAGAGTTTTGGGTTCCGTTGTACGCAATTATTTGTCTTTTCGTAAATTGAAACTAATCGCTTTTTGATGATCTATCTCTGGATTGGTGTCTCAATGTTTGACTTTTTGGAATTGGGGTTGGTAAAGCATCCAGTTCAAAAACGGCACAGCTGTTGCCCATTATTTGCGTTAGTCTTGTGATTTCCCATTTTATGGGAACTGAAATAAGAGGGGCGTTGTCGATTATTCCGAAAATTTACACCTCTCAAAAACACATTCCACTCGTTACACGACTGTTTCACGTCACATCTCGTGTTTGGAGTCCACTTGAAGGCGATCACCCTAGTGAGCCTTGACAACATCGAGCCCATCTGCTTGCTTGTTTGCGTGACTCGCAGCCGCAAAGTTATCTCAACTTTTGCTATTCCTATGGAATGTAACGCATCAGTGATAATGGTGCGGTTTGTTGGGGTGTGCACAAACAGAGGGCGATCAATTTCTCGTTCGCTAACTGCTTTCGCGAAGTAAGTCGAAAATACAACGCAGGAATGAGTATTCAATCGAGCCTGCATCATTCTGCTTGACAGCACAGACCCATCTCCATTGGTCGTGGTCGCCTCCAAATCACCGAAGCCAAAAATGAGGCGTCGACTTAACGGCATTGAGTACGTATTAGATTCTCGTTTCGGATACAAAACACACCAGAGCCAATCCCACCTGGTGCATAAGCAACCACATTCTGCTTGTTTGAGTATAGTGAACGATCATATGGACGGGTATGCAGGTTCTGTATATAAGTTTTGTGGGTGCGTAAATATCACGGCCATGGAATTCGAGGCGAACAATTGTAGCAGCCTTATGGTTGGTGGGCTTACTGATACGGAATACTTGGAAGTATAAGGTAGGGTAATTTCCATTACCCATATTGTTATGTGTAGCAAGTAAACCGACTCGGTGCGGCCGCGCGGTGCACGCGATTACTTTTGATCTTGTTATTGTTGTATGCAGAATGGGTTAGTTTAAGGCCACCTGCATTTGAACAGGAGGAAAAAAACCGTTCAGTTGTGGCACCCTTTCGGTGCCTAACTGCCATGCCACCCGAAGGTTGCACGAGGGCTGGGATACTGCCAGGTTGCCCAGGCCTAGACAGGGGAAGTCGAGAGACAGAGGTCGGACTCGACCACGGACCTTCCGGTCAGTAAATTCGCGCTCTAACCACTTGAGCCATCTCGCCCCCAGGATCATTAATCAATGTCTTTAGCTATAAGGCTTGACAGGAATTCGGCCTTAACTAACATACGTCTATGTATCTAAGCATATATCTAAACCTTGAGGAAAATGTCACCTTCCTTTTCCCGACCACCAACGTTGGATACCTTGGTTGTTGGATCTCGTGCTACTAGCCAACCTAACAAGACGGGTGCTACGCAGTGTAGACTACTCGACCACTAAACCACACAAACCGTCAGCCGGCGTCAAGGTCCATTCTTTTCGTGAGGAATCTTCACTGCCAAAGTACGTCGATTGGTCTTTGGGAACAGCGACCCACTTTCGATGGATCAACTGGCTCCAACTCGATTATTAGATTGTTTGGACCGCTTACTCGGGACCCCTCACGCTTCCCTTCCCGTAGAGCCTTTTCCCGTGAAACCATTTTCACATGGAATCGTTAACCAGTAAGCTGAATCACGTTCACATGTGCTGTTTATGGATGATTACGCCGGGGCAAGTCATACTAATTGTCAGGAATTTCTCGATTAGACCGTCTTCACTGTGAAGTCATCTAACTTCCAACTCTATCAGGCAGGTGGACATGTTCATTGCATCACCGTCACTACGTTGCTTATCGCTTGTCGTTAGCCCTACTGTAGCATCTGGGTTCAGTGTACTTTGGGTGCTCAGTTTGTAGCTGATAGATTGAAACCTTTCGGTTGCATTTGAGAGAACTCTTCGGTACATTGTGATGGTCGGTCACGTAGCAATGGTCATTCGGTCTGTTCTGGAGGTTTTTGCGTGACCCATTAAACCCTTGTGAGTCCACCTTGTCGTTTTCTCGATGTGTCCACTGAGCCACAAGTCACCGCATGTTATGACTTTGGTTCTTTTCAAGTTCTTGTAGAGATGGGTTTTTTCTTGGAGGGTATCTCTCCTGTGAAGCGAGGTGTATGTGAAGCGGTTAACTGCATGGTTTTTATGATTGTCCGTACCTACAAGCTGACCCCATTACTAGTGGAATTTAACAAATAGTGAATTGTTATAGATTGTACCAAACAGCTACTATCAAATATCAGTCATAAATCGCGTGTGATCATCTACGTTTGAATAAGGCAGAGTATACCTTTTAAATTTGTTTCGCCCTAAAACTCCCCTCCACAATTTTTTAGGCACACACTCCTGATTGCACTAACCCTCTGCACTAGTCCCACTTTCGACTAGAGTACCACAAGTCTATGAACATGTTGGCACGACAGAATCGAATGCACGGCATGGCGGAATTTACGTTGCCTAGCCATACACCCATTTGTCAACCGCTTCATCCAGTAACGTTACTACTGTACGTCATCTTGTTACCACATGGTAAGCTTGTGGGGCATATTACACATCGATTGATAACTGTCTTGTGATCTAGGTTCAAACAGCAGCCAGTACTGGTCGTTGGTTTGTTCGTTAAGGTGGTAGTTTGATTTGTTACCACATGGTAAGCTTGTGGGGCATATTACACATCGATTGATAACTGTCTTGTGATCTAGGTTCAAACAGCAGCCAGTACTGGTCGTTGGTTTGTTCGTTAAGGTGGGTAGTTTGATTGCAAACGTTTCATCACCAATCAAGGTTAGTGAGCGTCGTTGAAAGCGGCATTGGGTCGGTGGTTGTGCCCGGCACTCGTTGTACGGTGTCTGGACATCTTGGATGGGATTTGAGCACTCATTGCCTGCTTTTGGTGAGTTTCAGTAGGATCAGGGTGTTGAACTGTTCGAAAGGGTTCATCATTCTTTAATGGTGTTATTGTAGTCATACTGGCAGGCCTGGATGTACATGTGGGTCGCATCAGCTCATGTAACGCCCACTTTGGCGGTGCTATCAAGTTGGATTCATTTAGCGCTGATATCAGTAAATGACAGTGGAAGCTTTGTGCTCATGATTCTATATTTCCACATATTGATGTGTTCTATCTCCTGAGCAACACTTATACTGCATCCCATTGGTTTTCTGTTGGTCTACCGCCTTTTCAGGTCAACTGTTCTCCTTGAACGATTCGCCTGCATCCTACCTGTCGTTCGTAATCCTTATGGGTCTGTTCATTCTGTGCCCACTGTGCGTGTTCAAGAATCTTGTGAGTCTCCGTTAACCCAAATAACTAGTTCTGTTTTGCAAGTATGCTCGTGTTACGGTTCATTACATTTGTTGTGGTGTCATGTCCATGTTTCTCATTCTGTGCTGTGGTCAGTTTTACCGATTATTCCTTGCACTATACACAGTCAATCTCTTGACCCCATTGTGCATCTGACTGGAGCTGGCTTCCTCTATTATCCCACTTTCAGGCGTTCGGTCTTTCCACTGCCTTTGTTGGTGTCTATCTCAGCCTTGGATGTGTGTGCCTTTTCCTTATCCCCAACGCCTTTATGCCGCACATCCTGATTGAACAGTTTTTACGGCTCACTTGGATTGAGCACCGACTGGCTGTTCTGCAATTTAACGCCGTCGGTCTTTACGGTACGTTTCCTTATCCTTGGTTGCAGAGGTGTTGGAGAATCTTGTCCTTAGATTTCCGTTATTTGACATCTCTGTGCACTGACAGTAGAATTTCGATTTAAATTCGCTTTTGAAATATTCAGTCTCTGATCTTCAATCCTCCCTGTGAAATCATGATTTCTCTCGTTGTTCTGAGTGCTAATCACTGGTCTAATCATTGGCCATGTGCTCCGTGTGGAACATAAACGGAATCCACTGAAGATGCATCTCACCCTGTCCAGAAATGATTTGTGGGTGTGCAGGCGATGACAATGATATCAACGTTAGGTACATCTTGGAATAACCTTCGGTGTATGGGGCTTAGTAACGAGTTTCTTCGACTGAGTAGCTCCCTTAAGTTGGACCTTATTAGTAACATCCTCTTGCAAATGCTGAATACTTGGTAGCTTGTGGTAGGACCCCCAGCTAGCTGTTTATACGTTACTCACGGTGCTGCTTTTCTACGGTAATGAACCCTGTCCTGGTGATGCAGAGGTCTCTGGAGCTGGATATGCCGGCGTGGGTATTGTATTGAGTGACCGAGCGGAAGCGTCTCTACTGGATTAGATACTCGTTGATAGTTGGCTCTGCATGGCGCGTTTCGCAACGTCTGTGAAAGAATCTGGAGGAAGCGTTGTCCATCGCAGACCGTATGCGCCAACTGACTGTAGCTCTGAATTTACGAAAGTCAGTTTCTATGACGCTCAAGGTGCCCTTTTACAACGATCTAAAAGCTTAGATATCGTTGTGGTTTCTGGTAGACTAAACGCTGCTGAGGCTCGACTGGGTGTTCTTCTTGGGTTGAATAGGAGACGCAAGGACAATGGAGATCGCTTGCTACATATGTGTGCGATCACAGGCTGTTGCTTTGCAGCACCGATTTCCGGAACAGCGGAAACCACTTAACAACGTGCTGACCACTGACGAACCAGCGCCGAGTCCAAATAGACCACATCGTCGTCACTTACTGGTGGCATAGATCCCTCACATCCTGACGCTTCTTCTGGAACATCAGCGTGGACTCCGATCATGCACGTGTGTGCTGATGCTTTTCTTTGCACTTCTTAGGTCTCCACCAAATGTGCACATCTCGCTTAGCCACTGAGAAGCCAAGAAATCAAAAGAAACTTTCATAAGCAGCTCCTCCAACGCCTGCCGGACGGTCCGATGTTGAATATAAATGGCCATTAGGAAAAAAATCTAAAGCGCTACTCAAAGCCGTATTGTCTGTTTGCGATACAACCCAACCAACCTTATCCAAACATTGGGTCTCTAATAGGACCGTGCCTTTGCTGGAGACCCGGCGATAGATTCCATTCCACTTGATTCGTTCGACTGGTCCCCGGAAACCTATTGTCAGCGAAATAATCAGGGACCAAAATGGCAGGACGTTTAGACCACTAGGCACATTACTTCGTACAGCAATTCAGCTGGCCGTGGTTGGTTGTTGGTCTGTTCGCCGAGCTTGGCAGTTGGATTGCAAACGTTCAGCCAGCCGAGGTGACATCGTCAGTGCAAGGTTGAGTGTTTTGGTTTCATGCTTTCTTTGAACCTATCCAGTGTAATCCCGTGCTTGAATGGAACGTCACCTAACGGGTTGATCCGTCGTTTATAGGGCCTGCTTACTTTAGGCATGCCATGCAGGCCCATGTGATCAACACTTATCGTGTCTGATGCATATTCAATATGCCCAAATTATCCTTTCCATACAGACTTGCTAATATTTGCAACGTGGATCATTGGCACAACAATTTTCGGGCTCCTAACGCTTTGTTTGATTCGACTCCAAGATGCACGTGAACTTTCAGAGGCTCAGCGCGGACGTTTATTAAATCCAAACTCACAATACCAAACCACTGGGGGTGCGGGTAACATCCACGCTAGCAGTTCATTTTTGTGGAACGACGGAGCCGGTGTGTCTCGCCCGACGCGAGTTTTGGGCAATCGGCTTGCTCCGATTGGTGGAGCAACTGGCGCTGATTCTGGCCTCATCGGGGGGATCACTCCAGTGACTGGTTCGCTTGCACTTGGAACCACTGATTGTGCGGACAGTGCAGGTCGATTGAATTCGAAAAGTGTCCCCTCAACGAGCCGCCCATTTTCCGAACGTTCACAGCTGTTGTCTGCGTAAGTTCTCCAGCATTTTTACCGAACTCTTCGCCATTGGTTTAGCCAGGTGTTTAGGCTCCATCCACACTACTTTCTTACATGACATGTGTATGCAAAATTAGGTGCGGGGATCAGGACATTGGCTAAATTGTGCCAGTGGCCTGTTCAAAAGACAGAAACCAGGTCTAGCCACTTTTCGAATTGAGTCGGTTGCTCATATCTGAGCTACATGTTTAGACAAAACCAATAAAGGCGGTCGATCACTATAAATCAGATTTCAGTCCAACTGGAAGTGTGACCGGTAATGGCTACCTAGTTTGAGTCTTGTGCGATCGGTAGGACTGATCAGTGTATGAATGCTGAGTAGCTCCCTCGCCTCTAATATTTTCTGGCTCTACGTTTATGCTTCACAAGGTGTCGGTGTTAATTTCACCCGTGAACCAATGGTTGCCCGAGATCGCTTTGTTTTTCTTCGATTTGGACATGTAACGGGTACCTAGTGACTCTTTCGTCCTACCGTGCCACTGTTTACCCGTTTATGAGAGCGTCTCTATCCAACACAGTCATCGTCTTCATCACTGACAGCAATACACCAGTAAAATATTTTTACAAACTGATGCTCGACTGTCACTTTTATTGCATCCACTGACTTGCTTTATGGCCGATTATCGCGTCCCTACCGGATACTGACTGTAATTAGGTGGCTGCTGCGGCCCTGTAACATCCTATTTCATCCGGAACTGACGTCCAATATCAAAGTTGTAGTCTCCGGACTACTCATGAGTACGCAAACCTTTAATCCTAATACATCAATCTGTTTACCAGTGAAACTATGAGCCTGGGGCAACGGGATTCAAATCATGCAGCAAAATGTGCGCTCAAACAACAATTACATTCGGTCAAATAATAGAGGACTGAAACGTATGTCACTTGACTGGATCAGCTGTTTCAAGTAGGTAGTAAAAAAACCATACTCCTTAGCTGTCATGTAACCCCAAGTAGATGGACAATGAAAAGGCGTAAGTCAGCCACCTAGGTAGAGTAGCCATCCACTCAGTGCTACGTGCTAACCGTGAATGCCTGATGGTCACAACTTGGTCGAACGAGAGACAGCATCTGCCTCTGTTCACTGGTGGGGGGGGGGGACACCGACAAGTCTGAACGCTGTCAATGAGGTCTGCCTTCCGGAATGAAATCTTCCTCATCAAGGTCAAGGATTTATAGTGAGTATAGAAAGTACACACGGGATCTCAAGTGTTGAACCAAACGAGAGCAGATTAAACTGAACTACTGACTAATGCTTCATCACTCAAAGTGAAAACAACAGATTGTTGTACTTGGTTCTGGAATGTCGATTAGACGAGGATAGCAAGAGATTTGGGACAGAATGTACTTGCTTAGCCAAGTTTAGGTTGTAAAGGTGAACTGCACTTGTCTCCGCTTCGTCTATTAGCTGGCATCTGAAATGTTTTTATTTATGAACGACTGGCAAAATTAGCTCCTAAGTCAGAGTCCAAATACCCATTGAGTTTGAAGGTGACGAATCGTCGCAGAATTGAGGTAACCAAGTACACTGGAGAAACATTAAAATTCCCCTCGTAGGATCAGTACCACACTCCAGCGCAGCTCCATTTTGGAAAACTGAATTCACTATCCTCACCTGAGCTCACTCCACCTTTTGATTCTTTTTGCACATACCTAGTGAAGTCATCTTGTAATCGGCAATCTATCGTACAGCTCTGCAGCTCGCAAGCTATTTCGTGTGATTATCCTTCGACCGGTCAGATTTTGTCCTTCTCGGTCGGTAGTTTGAGATGCGTTTGGTCAAAGTGATGGGATAGGTCCATCACTAATTCTACTGGTCAGACCACTGTACGAACTGTCGAGTTCAGTATTTCCTGCTCAAATCTATTTGTGAACGTCGAATTTTATAACCTTGTTTATATTTTCTGGTATTATTCAGTGAATCCTTACTTCGCATTTGAGATCCGTGGCTCCATTTTCTCTAATTTGCTTATTTGCAATATTAGTGCTCCTCGGATATCTTATGGTGGTCTTGCCAATACCGCACAACCGTCGTTGATGCCACTGAGTCGAGTCCAGTTGGCTTGTGGAACAGGAGTTGGGAATCGCCTATCAAGTAACAAATTTCGGTACCCCGGCAGCCAGAGTCAACCTTCACTGACGACACCGCTGAGAATGGCATCGAATACTGACGACACAGCTGGGAACAGCACCGAACAGCCACGGTGACAATTTACTTGCTCCTCGCGATCAGATTTACTATTTCCTCTGGGACTGACTTGACTTTCTTTGGTTGACATCCTAACCGGATCAGTGATTTGATTTGTATTCACTATTATCACTGAATGTAGTTGTTTTCCACTCCCAGATTATTCGTTTTCGGGTTCATCACTTCGGGGACATCTGGTAATGATGTTCTGTTCTTGCATGTCTCGGCCACAGCTTGCCGTTCCAGAAGCTAGCATACTTATCTCTTGTCGACCGTCTGCTATGCAGTGTGTTTGCTAGACAAACTGGTCGTTGCTGATCACTACACGGTATGCACCTTTCGAAGGTCATTCGAGTTAGTCTGAATTAAAACTCTTTTTAGTTTTCTTAGAATACTCCACTTTATCGAGTTAGAGGTTGCTTTCAGATCAAAGTTAAGTCGCTTGTATTGAAGCAGCAAATTTGGGTGGATTTCGATAGAATACTGCAGATGGTTTCTTCACCGCTGGTCGAACGACAGTACCCCTGTCATTATTGATACCTTGAAAGCCAAAAACTTGCTCGATTGAGCGACATTTCCCAGACCTGTACCATTAGTAAATAGTATCGCGTGTCTGCCGTGTCAGCAACCACCCCCTCATGGCTGTACGGCAGTGAAGCATTGGTGTTGAGCACTGATGTCATGCTGTCGTTGATGATGATGATGAACCACCCCCTCTGGACAGAGGTTATCACGGAGGAAAAGGCCTTCGTGGGACTTTAAGCGTACCAGGTCGAGAAATAACTTCGCCAAAGACTTCAGAATTTCCAGAAACTAGACGATGGATATCCTCAGTTTCAAACCATACCTTGATAAGTCCATTATTCCAAACTGCAGTGTTTCATCTTCAGTCACTCCAGACGTCAATTATTCGTGCGCATTTCCTAACGGTCCCGATTTTGATTAATCTTGATGTGTAGGAACGACAGCAAATGGTTCTTTTAAAACAGAGCAGTGAACATATTGATGGAGTCACCACGGGAAGCTCCTTTCAACCGATCCTGTCCTTCTCTTTTTCATCTGTAGTAACCGAGTACTCATCGTACAGTGGTCGCCTAGACAGCGAATAAGAGCTAATAAAACCGGTATGAAAGAAACCAGTGAAATGAACAGCAGACTTATTGCCGTGCCGTGTGTAACTTACCCTTTAGAAACAAGGTCTATTTCACAACTGTTCCCCCTGGGACATTCCGAACACCTGGTTGTGCTTAAGTTAAGAACCAGATATGCCCAACTTCATGGACCGGCAGAGAACACATGCAGACTAGTCCCCACGTAAACTCCTGGAGAGATCCGATAACTGTATGACTCTGTATCTACCAATCGTGTATACTGAATTTTCCAATCGACGTTTCGTCCTATAAGTGAGGTCAATCTGTGCAGATAAGTAATGTGAATCTCCTTGATGAGGATCATCAGCAATGCGGACCTCGCGAAGTTTCGAGCATATTGGAAGCCGCATCTCCCGGTTGGTAGTGTAATACTAAACTGTATGGCCACGAGCGATGGATTAACAGTGTGTGGGTGTTCCTTATTGGCTGTTCGGCAATGACACCGTTCGCAAGGTCCTAGGGTGTACCCCGTTAAATGACAATAAATTAATAAATAGCATGTCCCAACCCTTCGAAAAACTGTGGACCCCGTATTCTTATTCTTGAGTACCACTGATATTTTATTCGATTCGCCATTTTTGCTGTCTAAACAAGGGTCCATCAATTTCACGGTCCTCATGATGTGAAATCGTCGCAGCCGTTAAGATGTAGTTTAGCCATAAAGAGATTCTCTACTAAGTATTTGTTCCAGTCGTTTGTGTTCGGATAAACTGTGGCGTTTAATGATGACGGTTAGTAACTGAGTATACGGCTTGATGTCATCAGGATCTATTAAAATGCTGCGTAAATCGGCTGCTATGTCATGAGGGAGTACTGCGATCACATAGTGATTCCGCAAAGGGCAAACTGAGCTTGAACTTGAGTGAACCAGGTGCATGGTTCGTGGTGTCAGAATAGCGGAAGATGAACAGAGGCGGCATTGATGATGAGTGTTGGTGCGATTGAAGGTGAAGGTGGATCTGACACGGTATACGTGGTGTGTCTGACTCACCAATAGTTGGTGCTCTATTTGTAACGTAATTAAATTGATTATCAGAAGGTGACATGCATCAACAAGTGTAAACCGAAGGAAAAATATGGAAGTGTACGTAGGACGGACTAGTTCTGAAGCCATCAGAATGCTCAACTGACAGCCCAAAATTTCAATTCGAGTAGACACGCCCGGGCAGTTGAGCTCCATAGTGTGCGGATAATGGTATCCGGTTGTGCGCAACACTCGGCAGCTAGTGTTAGATGTCGTACAACTAGGTCTGAGCTACGATGGTCACGGAGGATCAGCCCTAGCATCGGTGTATACATTGGAAAAAAGTTTCCAACGAACCCAATTCGAACCAGTCTTAATTGTCAGTTCGTTTGGGTACGCACCCAACTGCGCACTGATGATGTCTCCCCGTATGGTGACGAAACGTTTGCAAGCGGCGAACAGATCAACAGCCACCTGATCAACAACCAACTAACACCATTATGTGATGATCATGATGTTGGTGGTTCGATGCACCTATCCGTATCATTACATTTAAAGACCGAATTCCGCCTCATAAACCCTGAACTAAAATATTGAGTGTGTGTAGATGTTCTAAACGAATTACATAGTCTTACCTTATTCTAGCCCCAGGAATGAGTGGAATTCGAGTTCATTCGAACCCATATTAAGGAACACCTATGAACAAAGCGCCTTCCGTGATCGAAAAATCTGTCGCAAGGTGAGACGAAGTACCGTCTCCTAGGAACGATTTATGAGTTGATAGTACTGTTAGCAGATTTGGTGATTTCCAACTGAGATTTCATTGTGTAAGTGAGTCAAATCCATGCTGGAAAGCCGCCTACAACTATCATCCTTATTAGGTGTAATCAGCAATGCGCATCTGACGAAACTCCCGATTAGTAAACTCCCGGAGTTAAAGAGCCCACCGTTCCGCCACAAGCGCTTGAACACCAGTGTGATTGACTCACACTTAGAGTAAATACAGCGCCAATCAGCACTCGGTTGCGGGATCCATATCGCGTAATCACAATTGCGAACTGGCTTTTCGGGTGACGACTTCTCCGGTGTAAGTTTCGCCCATCTTGCGATAGCACTCTTCCTCTGAGTTACCTACAGATTTGGGGAATTTGGTGGTTCATTAGCTAATTTCATTGATCAGTTGGGGAAAGCAAGACCCGTAATTGGGTGTATTGTTATTTCGCTTGTTTACTTACGCAACATACGAAGGATTGTTATTGCACAATCAGCTGTCTTATTTCTTCATAGAGTCCAGTAACTGAACACGAAACGAGTCTAAACCTGGTGACATTTCTTCTTCCAGTGGAGAGAATGTAGGTTACCATCGGGGGATCCGATGATTTTCAGGAGACTGTTTTTTAATGCTTTGGAGAAATGTGTTGCTAGGCGACGCCAACGAAGAACATGTTAGATTTTATCCAGTTTGTCCGGGTGGTTGTGTTGAAGAGTAGACACCTTGCGTGTCTGTGGAGGGACTCCTTCCGTTGATGGCTCTGCTAATCACAACCACATCCTTTCTGTGGTTCTGCTACATTTGATGGAGACATGTTGGTGGCCGACAGGGATCGGTAGGATTCAGGTGAACCTGATTCATCACACATTTTCGACATGTGCACAGCGTTTTATTGAATACGTTTAACTTTACTGGGAAAATCAGTTTACAATCTAGAGAGATGCAAAACATTCAACAGGATAGGTTCACTCATATTTGAAACGGAGTGGAGTATCCAGAAAGGAATCAATACTAATTTTGGATCAATATGAGTAACATCAGAATTAAATATCTAACGAAATGCAACTCAAAGAGTGAACTACTGCAAATAACAAGAACGATAAGTGGGTTTTATTCCTCCGCTCGAGAATTTTGAGGCCAAGACGCCGTTGAAGAGATGTCATGAGTTGATTCTGAAATGTGTGTGTCCTCCCGAAGAGCTTCAGGTTTTGGCTCAACAGTATAATTAAAAGCGGAGAGGTATGGATTGTAGCCGAGTTGGGGTAGCACAGGCTGCGTCCGTAGGTAGTTGAATGGCATATGGAGGGCTGCCGTGTAAAAAAACAAGCAGTATGTAGTCTGAAGGACATGAGTATGTCATGCACGTGTGACATGTCGTGCACCAATTGACCCACGATCTAATTGAGTATAAATAGGGTATAAATTTATATGACCCCACTTTCCCAATTGAAGTGAACCAATGGTCATCCATAACAAGGCGATTCTGACTTTGGTGCGGCTACGGTGTGAATCATTTTTACTACGAGACTATCTATGAAGCCAAATTAGCGATTCCAGAATAGGTGAAGTTCGCAAGCCCCAACATGGATAAAGGTTCCCTGATCGACAGCTGGAAACATTACTGCAGCCATCATGAATAATAGAGAGAATCAACCGACTCCAGAAGCACATGTGTCGCAAAAGCCTAGTAATACAGTGCTGGCATGTGTCTTTAATTCAGGACTGCTTCCCTGATCCTTCAGTTGAAACGTTCGGATAGAGAGGGCAGTAGGAACGTCACCAACATGGCAGGTGGCACTATTCTGTGACATCCGCACCCCCGATCTCGGTGCGGTTAGTCAGTAATTTGCCTACTAGCCAGAAGGTAGTAATTTCTTACCACTCAAAGGATTCACCAACAGACACTCCTGTTGAATCCCAGAAAGGGTAAAATAACTGTATAGTGCTTCCGTGCTCCTTATGGCTTAGTCTTCCGGCGGCCTGCGGCCGTTCCTGGCTTTGATAATCGGCTCACGGTTTCGAGGATAAGGGTGCAGAAAGATATGTTCATTACTTTTCATGTTTTTTTCCGCGTGAGTGATGACAATTCTTAAGTTGCCGGCTTTTTGTCGACAATTGTAAGATATAGGGATTATTGATGTATACAGAATTTTGGGCTTATTTTCGTGATTTGGTACTCTCCCTTGTATGGAATATGAACTCAGCGGAGTTGTTCGATGGTGTGTGTTCAGCACAAGCTGCGTAATCACGCTTTTTACTGCGACTTGTTTGGCACACTGAATTTCTTCTTTTAGTCTGCAGGTTTTGAGTATATTGCCGGATTTCTCATTTAAGAATTGTCGTTTCCCTGAAGGAACTGATGTGGTCAGACTTTACGTTCTCTCAAGCTACATTTATGTAGCCTGATTTTTTCTTGTTTTTTTTATCCTAGTGTCCTCGCTGTATTATTATATATCCGTCTGATGAATTGTACGAAAACCTGTCAAATGTCTGCATCCTGCGGTCGTCGTTCCTGGTGTTTACAACTGTTTTCGTTAGCACCATGTGGAAGGAAGCTGGTCTGTTTTGGAATCCGAAAGTATGGTTTGGCAGAATTTTATTCCGATGCTCAACGGGCGACAAGCCGCGTGAAAAAAATGCATTCTAAATAGTATGTGGACACTTTCGGATGGCGCCGCATATAATGAGGTTGTGAATATTGGGGATATGACGTGAATTTTGAAATGATACATACAACTGCAGTGTATTATCCCGTTGACACTTCGTCAATAATCGCTCCTAGTCGTTGGTTTGCTTACTAAGTTGGAAAATTCGATTGCGAATGTTCCACTACCTTTGAGGTGTGTTCAGTTCGCTGCTGGGGAGCGTAGTGTATCGTAGGGATGGATTGGTAGTTGTACATCTGCTCTACGTGAGCTACCAACGTTTTCAATAATAGCATAGCACTTCAGTCGTATGCGTATGCGTCGTGTGCGTATGCGTCAGCTGGTGACCGTTTATGTATTTCCTCCCATCTCCCGATGTCCCCTCCCGCGGATCCTCGCTGTTCTTTTCTTCTTGTGTATGCTGTTTTATATGACTCATGAAGCTTACGTTGACCTGAATCTGGTCTCTACAGCCTTGTAACAGTTTGCTATTATTGATCGCATACATGCCTTTATCCAGCACCTGAAGCGACTAGTGAGTGTGAGCAAGCCAATTCTCGCAACTATGCACACATTTTTTCACAAAAATATGCACATGATAATTTACAGAACGCCAGTCATTATACCCGTAGAAAGTCCGGCCTTTTTCATATATTGCAAAAGTAAATGCCTGTCTGAGCTGGATGAATCTGCTGGAGTACGTGGCAAGCGTCAGAATCACCGAACGACCGGCAGGTAGAATGAATTCTGCCTCAAATCACACGCAACAGAGATATCGGACCGAAAATTGGCTTGATTTTGTTTCTCACCGGCGATTTATCTTTGTGTGTGGCTGAATAAGCTATGTCTATTTGTCCGACTCGTGGTGCACATACTTCCGTACAGGGTAACCTTGAAAGAACGACATCCAGCTTTCTGTGAACATTGTATGCTGCCGCCGCAATGGTATAAACGCAGTTGCCATAATACATCCAAAATCTGTCTTCAGTGTGCTTTCAAATTCAGATTGAGTGAAGTAGAAGTTTTACTGCCAGATTCTCAAGTTCCTTTGCTCAAATGACCCATTGTTTTTGATACTATCGCAAACATTTAATCTTGTCTTGCTACTTTGCCTCACATAACAGATGAGGTCGATATACAAATTCCCATATATTACCTTTCATATTATTATCATATTATCTCATATTATCTCTCTTTGGTACTACATACTACGAAAAACATTACATCAGAGTCCCAAAGCATGTGCTCAGCACAAGGCCGCTCTTTTACCAGGATAGTAACACCTAATATATGTAGCAGACAACTTCAAAAATGACGAATCGCTTATACAGTGTGAGGTTCACTAGAACATGTATTTAGCATCACAGGCTGCAGTGGTTTGATCAGGCGCTGCGCGCCCTATTGGCCCTTCAGTCAACAAAGTCGACCAAGCGAAACTGGTGAACATTACATTTATCAGACAAGAACGAAGACCAGCTTTAGCAGCTAGCGTGGTCAGGGCGCAGAACATGCTGTACACCATACTGATCGAATAAACTGAAAACTCGTTTCCATATATTAGGGGTAATATAGACGTATTACTTTGAAGTATTGAATCCACACCAGAGGCGGGTGTTCTGGCAGCCTCACGGTTTAACAAAATGAATAGAAGAAATTTCGGATTTGCTAGGAACTTGGACTAAACAGAAAATACTCCAGGAGTACAAGCGACTCTTTCTGGACCCACATTGTCACTTACTATCTTGGCTTGGTGGTTGAAACTGGACTGATAATCCACAGTGCCTGAATGCTGAATATGGCTATAGGTTTTGCGCTATTATATGCCTAACCAATACAATTCAAAAACTTATATGACATGTATCACCTTTCTAATTATGTGTTCTTACCAGGAGGTTTAACTTAGGTTTACGTTTTCAAAGCAAAAGCATCTCACGACTACCCGTTACGGATGTGTATTCTGTTTAATAAAGTAAAAACACTATAATGAAAATAAATATTGCAAACCGGTGCGCTACAACGCCCGACGATATGAAAGTCTTTAAAGCGTATTCAGCAGCATACGTAAGAAGACATCGAAACCGAAGTCTAGTATGCGGAGAAAAAGGACAATACAACAGTATAATCCTCGTTTGCCCACAAAAACATTTAGTTGTTGACCGAATTATATGTTCAAATACTATCCAGAGATAAAAGTTCTGCAGAACTACTAACCTCGGAGGCCCATCTGATATTGCAATATTTGGTGGAGAATCAGGGAATTCATCATTGGACGCCCAAAAAGATGGTTTGTGTGAGGAGGATAGTAAAATAATAGTGGTTTCACCGGTCGAATTGGGAAGCTTCCTGCAACTGCTGAACTCAGTGCGGAGCCAAGGATTTGTTCCGATGGACGTATATGGATGGGCACGTTTAATGTAGGCTTCAGATTAACATCGAGAGCCATATTGCCCTGATCATGGACAGTGTTGTGAGAGATTGGCTGCTCCCGCAAGTGATTTTCAGGTATAGGTTCCGGTTGGCTTTGTAGCTGATTCAAGTCTTTTGGGTCAGTTAAGAGGGGTTTTGCAAAATAGTGGTTACCTGCCACATGCTCATTTGAAGGTGGGTTGTGTGAGGCAACATCTAGCTGTTGACTGATACAGGCGTTAGCTGAAGCGGCGTTTGTCTGAACAACACAACTGTGGTAATGTAAATAATGGTGATTTTACCATTGCTTTGAACCAGCGCAAAGCCTAAGAGCTTAGCTAAGCAAAATGTAAATTAAACCCACGTTTTGTCCCAGCGGTCCAGATGCCATTACTTGCCGCTGATACGATGCGGTTATTGGATTGCACGGTACTGCTGTAGTAACACCGGGCCTTTCATTGTATTGTGGTTTTGGGTGGTTTGATGCCCTTTCCGCCCTTACAGTAGCTTGTGGCGGGGGGTTTCCGGAAAAATTTTTCGCGATGTTACTGTCCACGATTTCTGACACAGCTGGGTCTGCATACAGCTGACTCAGTGCAGCGGAAACATGAGACGTAGAAAAAACAGCCCGAGGTTGGTTGTTGTTTGTACTACTATGCGAAACACTATCAGGCCCACGTGGGGCTTCAACCGAACTCTGGAAAGAATTTCCTACTAACCCCAGAAGTTTGTAGTAAGCACTCATATCTGCAGGTGATTTGGGCTCTATTTGTTGAACTCTCAGCTTGGATTCGATCTCCCTCAAAGTTTTTATGTTCGGTGGACGGTCGCCTAGAATTGTCATCAAAAGGTGTGCGCTCACCTCTTGTAGAATACTCAGTAGAACCAACTGCGTTGCGATTTTTGGTGAAGCTGGTGTCTAAAAAATCAGAATTAGAGTAGGTATTGCGTAAACCTCCGATCGGATGTTTAGCTCGATCATCAACGCCACCAAAAGTTCCTCCTTAGAATGCTGCATAACCTTCTGTCCAAATATATGAACTCACCAGTTTGACGTTTGTGCAAGGTACTATTTTCCTTTTCGTCGTCTGAAAATCGTCCAATCATAGGGAAACTAACGCTAACCACCAGCTGACATATCATAATCGTACTGGTCCACTCCTTCATCTACATCTTCGGGACCATAAACATACCACTCAGGATGGCGGTTTGTGTGAGGGGCATATTTAGTCCACCCATGACTATATGGGCTGGAAAGATTAGGGCGGTCATAAAAATTCCTCTCTCGGAAATTCTTCGAATAGAGTTCAGCGGAAACAATGGCTTCATCATAGAATTTGCTCTCCTTTTTATTTCTATTTTCGAAGTCTCCTTTAGAGGATGCTGCCGTTTTATCTTCTTGAAGCATAAAAACGTAAATCACTAACCAAAGTATAGATTATCCTCACCCTGAAGGCCAAGTATGGATGTCTTATTTGTAGGCCTGCTTTCAAAATTTCGATGCAGTCCAGAGTACAAATAAGATAACTTTCTTGTCTTAGATTTTGCAAACCTCCTATCGAATATAGGCGGCCAGTCTTGTGCTGTTCTACAGGAGCGGTAAGTCAGAAGTTGTGTCTGTTTTGACTAAGTAGTGATAGTTAAGAACAATACCCGTGTGTATGTGATTCTTCCATGCATTTTCTTGGGTATTTCAACGAAAGACTTTATAGCGCTATCCAGTAGACTTATTGCCGCCATTTTCACAATAGCTGTCTTATTGATTACTTCAAAAAGATAGACATGGGCGTTAATGCGCAGTTGCCTCGATTTCATTGAGTAAAACAACTGAACTTTAGTTCAGTCCAGCTCAAGTTGAAAGATCCGGTAGCTTGGTCAGATTTAACAAGATAAATCGCATCGGATCACACGGCTTCAAGTGAGGGGAAGTAAAGTCTGTTAAAGGTCATCACGTTAAGGGCGGAAAGCAGCTGTTTCGTCTGCTTTGAACCACCCAACCTAGTGCAAAAAGCATAACAGGTTCAAGATATGGACAAATATATTCCGTGTTATTTCAGATAATTCTTAGCATTGACCCGGCTATTTGCTTGGTTTCATCTAAAAAAACCAAGCTGGCCATGGTAAAATGCCCCATGGCTTGTGCCGTGCACTCCGAATACAGGTAGCGTGACATGAGAGATCCTAACGATGAAACCGACCACCCATCATAGTAAACTGGGCTGTGCCTAGCGGACGTTCACCTAGGTTTTGAGCTTTGAGGACCGTATAACCGTCTGCCTGCCACCTTCTGACAACTTACCGTGCTGTATTCATTCACCGTAGGCGACAGGAGGTGGATTCCGCGCCGGCCTCTTCAGAACCAAAGAGGCGGTGGTTAGGTTGGATCTTGCCTGACTGTATTGGATTGTATAACAAAATCCAACCTTGCATTGGGCCCAGTCAGCCGTAAGTAAGTCTGCATTACGCTTTACATACGCCATGAAATAGTGAAATTTATAGGACTACAGGGAGCCTTTGGCCGGGACAAATCAGTGCGGTCACATTCGGGGTTTTTCCGCCGCGACATGCGACGGAGTAATATTAAGATCTCGAAAGTCGACATTTAGTTCTGTTGTTTAGCACGCTCATGAAAACCTAAAATACTGCAGGAATGAATCTTCAAGTCGTACTTATCCCAGCCCATCCCGGCCTATTGAATATTGTATGGGTATGCCTGGAGCTACACTGAGTCTCAATATATTTTCTTTACTTTAAAGGTGGCTGCAGTTTTGTCGGGGCTATTTCTCAACCCCATAAATTTTTAGATCTTTTGTGCGAGAGCTGGGTGGGCTTTGGCGCCTAATCCTTGCCCAACCTAGGTATTCGTTTGAATCCCCCAGATATGCAGGCCAAATTTCCCGTCTTCGGTGTTTCGATTCTTGGGTTGGATACACAAATAGCCACTTACCAGGAGTAGGTGGCAAAGAAAAAATTACGCTGAATCGTGTATACAATAAAAAAAGGGTCAAGTGGAAAATAGTAACCAGGACTTGTTCTGTTTAAAATGGTTCGTCGTGGGCACAGTTCACTGAGTGAATAGTAATTCAATTATGATTGTCCAGGGGTGTGCTCACAACACAAAATCCGTAAATACTCCGAAATGTTTTGATATCGTCACTAGTACCTAAAGCTCGCGGATGATCGCAGTAGGCGCAAACAAAATTAGAAAAGAAAGTCGAAGCACGCGTCCAAGCTTGTAGTGTATGAGATTTCCACGTAGAACGCTAGCCTAATTCGTCCTTCATATATGGCGACACATTCCAGAGTTTAAAAAATGCACCGGAAACTTTCCCCGTCTTTAAAAGTATAAGATTTCGACTATCGAAATGCTTTCAGTGACATGCTGAACGGACGTTCAATGATAACCGTATATTCCCCAGCTTAGTTCTTGGTCTTGACCCCCAAAGATATCGCTCCCAGAAAAACAACCACCAAATCTGTGCAACGTATGTTAACACCGAAAACCTGGATAAGAAAACCTCTGGAGCGCATCGTACGTAATGTGGATGGTGATACACTGAAAATTCTGACGACTTATGGATCTGTCACTGGCAACCATCATTCAGGGAATTTCAAGACTTCATTGGCTGTTTGATCAAAGTGTTGTCCAACCAGGGCTCTCCTTGAAACCGAGCCGGCAGATGGCCCGCACTTTTGGTCACTCTTTTGTGGGGTATGTTTCTTGGCCGTAGCAGTTTCCAGCTGCGAACGGTATCTTGCGAAATCACGACTAACAAGCGCGTACATCGATCACCGGATTCTCAGCAGATACTGTAAGCAGGGAATCATGATCGACTCACGATGGTAATCACCAATAGGCTCCTTGATTGATACAAGAGATCAAGGATTTCACCTGAGTTTCTTGGGTCCTGTCGGTTCTCGTCGTTCAGCGGCTTTCGTTCACATGAAAGTCAGAAGCACCGCTCTGCAGGTTTTCAGGGCGAATATGTAGGCTCTCCGGCTGAAGTCCTCACACATAAGGGGGTTTAAAATTGCCTTGAGTTCGGCAGTGAACGAAGTCCTTACCTTCCCGAAAGTAGGCACATACTCTTGCCCAACTAGTACTAGGTCTATAGATCAGCAAACAAATATGCCTCTCCTGGGTCCATGTAGCTTGCTGTCATTCTCTGTTAGTTTCTTTTATTGACACCGTTATTCTGATACCTACTGGCAGCAACCAGATGCTGATGCTCTCATCCTATTCATTCCTCATTCCCCGCCTTTCCAAGCTTCAAACTTCGACTGCAGTTGCATAAACGCCCCATAGAACCGCTATTCATTCAATCTGGCTGGTTCCCGGTATACACTCACAAGCTCCTCCAACGAAAGGTAAATTATCCGTGACCCTGCATTGACCTGAATCTCCGTGTCAATTTCCTCGTCTCACCCGGCTCCAGCTACCACGGAAATGCGTATTTCCTCTCCGATCGCGGCACGGTTGACGACCGATACGGGGCCGCCCGTGAACCGAAGCATGTCAGTGCAATGATGGCATGGCACTGTCATATCCTGTGTGATGGCACTCCCGCAACCATTTTCTGCGAAATCTTGACCGCACCCTCTCGCCCACCAGAGCCGATAATCGCAACTACGAGCGAATTCTTCATCTGGCCCCAAATGTCTCTGGGACGAGTTCCATCCTACCCGATGAATTTTGTTCAAAATTGGCCAGCCTGGTTTTCAGTTGCGATTTCGACTTGCTTATTCCACAACTTTAATTCCGTACATGGTGTTCAGTTGCTTTATGCATTAGCACAATCTCCAGATCCAACCTATTCATTACACCTGCATTCCCTCCAACAGAGCAACCAGTGGGTCTACTTAACCTCAGATCAAACCACATTTTTGAGACAAAAATTACTATTTGCTCCCAATTTGAATTATTCCATCTCTATCTCGATTTTTGCTCGTTGTGACTCTGGCCATTTACCCAGCGGCCCAGGGATACTCATGGCCAGCAATGGTATTCAGTTTCAGTTCATGTCAGCCGGCTTTGTCTTTAAACTAGTCAGAATTCAGGTCCACTTTTCCATGCAAGTTGGGATATGAATCGTGTTGAAACCGTTAGCAAACCGGCTGTGTATTGCCACTCTTCCAAGAAACTGCCTTAGAGATCGCTTTGAATTCGGAACATAACAATCCTCGGCCTTTGCCAGTTTTTCTGACAGTGGGCTAACCCCACCACCAGCTTTCCCTGCTTAGGTCAAGCACGGAATCTGTACCCTTGAGAAAATCCGCCTCCAATATCGTCTAGTCCACGTCTAGGCTGATCGGGAACGCGTGCTGCCCGGACTAGTCACGTAAGCGTATCGAGTGCATTGAAAATCCGTCAATCTTCATTTGAAATCCACCTACGGCTCTCACGCCTGGCGCGCACGGTCTGCGTTCAGCTTGATTTCCTCTTCGCCTGAGCGATACGCCTGCTCCTGTATCAATCAAACATAACTCCCTTTTCTCGTCTACCTTGACAACGGCTTGCATGGTAACTTGTGTCAGTGCGCTAATCATGACCCACCCAGGAAAACAGGAGTACTCTAAAATTTTAATATATACAAGTGATCGGGTGCGGGGACACACATGTGGCACCGGCTGGTTCGAGCGTGCCTCCGCGATACCGTCTTTACGGGTGCAAGCTGTTCGGCGGGTTGGTCCACTCTGGTATGCAGGTCCTCCACTGGTGAACAATCCTTCTTCTCCTGCAACTGCACCGTGGCCAGTGGTGTCGCGGCTAGTTTCCGGGCCAGATGCACCAGCTCCTCCACACTCAGCTGGCCAGTTGCTCGCGCCAATCGCAATTGGGCACCGGGCGCCGGCTGCACGTTTCCGCCGAACTGATGGCGCGACACTCCGTCCAGCTCCGGTAAAGCGGGACCCAACGACTGCTGCAGGCCAGCAAAAAACAGGGTCGGGTCAGATCCAGGTGCCATTCTGGCCTTCTTGGACCGCCCCATAGACTTCTGGCGGTCGGCCAGCCGCACTTTGCTGCAAAGACTTCCTTCGCCGCGGCCCAGTCCATCTTCCGAGGGCCCCTTCTGGCCGTATCCAGGGCCGCGTTTGCCCGGGCCCTGAGGAGGTCTTCATCGCCACTAACTTAACCCGGTGGGCATCCAGCCCAGCAGCCTCCGCAATCCCTTCAAAGCCCCAACATGAAGGTCCTAACATCCCAAGTCTTAAAGGGTTGTTGCCACGGGATATTCATCCTTATCCTTGTCACGGCACCAAGTAAGCCTTTACTGCTCGGTTGTTTATTAGAAAACGCCAACTGAGCAGTTGCAGGCTATTAGACATGGAAGCAAACTCTCATATACATCTTGTTTACAAAAAGGGCATGTGCATCTTCTCCCTGAACGCGTCTTCCTAAACTTCCCT